GGAAGGAGAACAGATAAGTTGCTGTCCTTTTGTTCTTCAGTCTAGTTGTGGAGGACACCGCTTCACTGGCCCATGTTGGTATTATGATCACTGCATTCTTCCTGGGTGAGGCAGTTGGTCGCCGGCCCCCACAATATATATATTTAAAACTCAGGGGCCAGCCAAGTGGCTCAGTTGGTTAAGAGCTTGCTCAAGAATGCGAGCTCTGAGCAACAGAGTCGCCGGTTTGATTCCTGGCCCCAGATGAGTTGCCACTGAGCTGAGGATGGCTCAGCTAAAAAAAGAAAAACAAAACTCAGAAACTCAACAATAAGGAAACAACCACATTAAAATATGGGCAAAGAACTTAAACAGACACTTCATCAAAGAGGTTATGGCAAATAAGTACATAAAAAGATGTTTAACCTAATTAGCTATCAGACAAATGCAAATTAACATCACAATGAGATATCACTACACATCTATTAGACCAGCTGAAGTAAAAAAAAATAATAATGATAATACCAAATTCTGGTGAGGATGCTGAGAAACTGATTAGAGGGGTCACATGAATGCAGCCTGAACTCCTTTACAAAGTTTCCACCAGTCTTTCAGTTAATGTTTCATCCACTGACCATCACTGCTTGATTTGTGACTTCACTAGAGGTTATAAAATCATGATTTTCTACATTTACTTCTACATTTTTCTACAGTTATCAATTGTATATCTTGTAAAAAGAACTTGCTCTCATCAATCTAGGGCTATTTGGTTGTCCCAAAATAGTTTGTACTGGAAAAGCAGAATGAAATACTGAGTTTTTTTCTTTTAATTGCTAATTGTCAGAGTAAGGAGTTGATGTCTTATTGACTTCAAATGGTATCCAGTGTTTTCTTTGGGACTGGGGGGCAGGTCTTTGTTTCTTTTTCAGTATCCTTAATAAACTCAGGATTTAAAAAATATATTCAATATGTTTCAACACTTACAGTTACTATTATTTTTTGATGCTGTATGTACTTTTGAGATAATTCCATTATTCTCTGATGGTTTTCTTGCTTACTGACACAACAATATAAGACAATCTCATCTTATTTCCTATCTCAAACCTGGAATTAACTATTCCTCTCCAGGAGTCCTGATACTTTTTATGTAGAATAGTATTTACAGACCTTCTGTACATTATTATGTATTGTTTATTATAGACGAATTTAAAGAAAAAAAATGTACTCTCAATGTTGATTTAAAGTAGTTTTATTATAATGTTATTTGAATATAATAGTAGAGCTATGTATAAATAAATGCCTTAGGCTTATGGTGCTTATCAATTTTAAAACTTAAACGATAAATAACAAACTAATTAATTAACAGCATTAATTTAATGTTATACATTATATTGTTTTACTGAAACTAAATTACAGTTCAAAACATGAATATGACTCCACAATGGCATATCGAGTGTAGCTTGTTTTCCTGTATGCTAACTTCTCCCACCACTTTATTCTAACTACCAAGAAATTGTATTACGTGTTTGTACAGCACACCTGGTATAGAACCATATAATTTACAAACAAAGTCTGACTCCTTAATTTCAAGTCAACCCAAAACAATTAAAGTGGTACTACCTGGTGTCAATGTGCTTGTAAACACAAACACAAACATGAGTGTTGATAATGCATGACAATGTTCAGTTATAAGGTGGTCTGCTAGATGACCCAGAATGTGCTTATATTAATTTATTTTAGATTATTTATTTGGGGGATGGTCAAGTTACCATTAAAGCAAGGAGGCAGAGAGTTTTCATAGAAGAGGTTGAGGTTAAACAGAATATAGCTGACGACAAACTGTGACTGCAGAGGCATATGAGGAAGAAGAGACAGCAATATGTAGCTTCTAAATGTACCACAGCAAAACACTATTAGTTAGCCAAAATTACCAGGAGAAGTAGAGGGAGTGAAGTGAGCAAGCTACAAAACAAAACAAGCTATATATTACGAAGAGTTCATGGCACCTAATTAATATTATTGGTCTTAGGGCTAATATGAAACTGCAAAAACACTGAAGCACAGATATAAACACAACACTTACTATTTAAAACGATAGTACAAACAGCCTTCCTTAATATAGCATTTGATGTACTCTTTTATATAAATATTGACCAAATATCTAAAAGACATATGTTTGACGGTCTTCCACATTGTTGTCCAGCTGAGATTCCCACAAGCCTCCTTTTGTCCTTGTCTGGGTATCAACCTTGACTTCTAATGGGAATTGACAGCAATGTTTAAGCAGAAGAGTAAGATAATCAGTTTTGTTTGTTTTGTTATGCAAGTGATCTCTGTGATAGTGTAGACTCTACACCAGCGGTTCTCAACCTTCCTAATGCCACAACCCCTTAATACAGTTCCTCATGTTGTGGTGACCCCCAACTATAAAATTATTTTCATTGCTACTCTATAACTGTCATTTTGCTACTGTTATGAATCGTAATGTAAATATCTTTTTGTTTTCTGATGGTCTTAGGCGACCCCTGTGAAAGGGTCGTTTGACCGGCAAAGGGGTCGCGACCCACAGGTTGAGAACCACTGCTCTACACTGTAAAAGATAATCAAGTGGAGTAAGGAGAGACTTGTAGCAGAGAAATGAGTCAGGGGGCTGTTGCACAGTCCAGTTTGTTGAGGGCTTAAGCTGAAGTGAAAATGGAGTGGGGAGCCTTGATTTGAGATATTTTTCTGATTTGATGATTTCTGATTTCAATATTTGATGCGCAAGTGGACACAGAAGAACTAGTTAGGAAAGTGTTACATTAATCCATGTAAGAAGGAATGTGAACCTGAACAAGGTAAGGATATTAGGAATGGGGGAAAAAGGATTAATTCCACAGTTATTAAGGGCATAGAAATCTGAAGACATTTTGATGGACCAGATGTTTGAAGAAAAGAGGGAGGAGCAAGGATGATCTTCAGGTTTTAAAAATTATCTACTACAATGTACAATTCACAAAGGTGATTCATGTAAAAACTACATCTTTCTCAGCTTTCTTCCTTCAGTGTCCTATTGGAATTGTCACTGGTAGAAGACCTCTCAAGCAGTATTTGCCAGAGTATCCAATATAGACACGTGTCACATATAGGAATACACTCATAAAAATGCCTTTCTTTACCTAGGAGGGAAAGAAAGTGTAAATAAAGAACACCTACACGGGTTGGTAAAGTACAGCCCACAGGCCAAATTTGGATGGCTGCCTGTATATATATATATGTTTTTTACATTTTTAAATACAGTAATACCTTCGTTTATGAGCATAATTTTTTCCAGAAACAATCTACTCGTATTGCGAGACATCGCTCGTTTACCATGTTAAAATGTACTTGTCTTGTGGAACACTCGCAAACCAAGGTTTTACTGTAGTTGAAAAATACTCCAAGAAGAATTTTCATAACACCCTAAAATGATATAAAATTCAAATGTCAGTGTCCATAAATAAAGTTCTACTGGAACACAGCCATGCTCATTTGTGTACATACGTTCTATAACTGCTTTTGTGCTACAATTGCAGACTTGAATAGTTGTGACAGAGATCCTATAGCCCTCAAAGCCTGAAATATTTACTGCCTGGCCCTGTACAGAGAAAGCTCGAGGACCCCGGGTCTACTATGGGCCAGGTACTGTGCTAGGGCTTTCACATTGTGTCTCTTATTTTTCTCAAAATCTTTAGTGGTATACTAAGTTAAGAGACCTGGAGAAATTGTCTAGCTAATTGAGAACAATAACGTTTTATTTGTAAAATATTCAAATTATTTAGGCAAAGGTAGTGAGTTGCCTTCTTTATTTTTAAAGAATCCAGTCCTTTCTCTGCTAGAACACTGGTATTCATTCCAAATGCTCATAGTGCCAAGGCTAAATTTTCAGAATACAGTATAAGCCCCTTTGCAAAAGCAACCTTTTATTCACATTTCATCACTTTCCCCCCTCCCATCACCACTGAATTTCTCCCTGTTCTCCCATTTTGTGCAGACACAAGTTGAGAATGACACATTCAAGAGATATTTAGTGTTCACTTCATTTAGGTTCGTTGTCCACCTTTCCCTTCTCTGTTTTCCTTCACTCTTTACTTTCTTCTTCACTTGTCTACCATTACGGAATATGAAAGAAATGAAGGAAGGGAGGGAAACTTCAAAACACACACAGGTTTTACAGGGGGAAGGCATACCTCTTATCGCTCTGGTCAGCTTTGACTGGTCAAATCCTCGAGGGCAGGACCGATTTTTTTTTAACGTCGTGTATCATCTATTAGAGGTTCAGTGAGTGGCCATTCAGTCATTGGATTCCCCCCTCCCCCTCTTCCTCTCCCTTGGGAAACCTGGAAAAAGAAAATCTTCCCACGAAAACTCCTCAGGAGCGCACCAACATCAAGGTTTGCGCACTTGGACTCACCCGGCGCCGCAACCCCCACTGCAAGTCCTCGGGGTCTCTAAGCACGAACCCAGCGCGGGCTTCTCGACCTCCTGCGGGCGCGCCTGCGCGCGCTCCCCCTCCGGCCCCCTACCCTGCAGCATTGGTAGTGTGACGTAATGCAGCCTCAGCATGTCAGCAGCGATATAAAGGAGGACGAGGCGGCGCGCCTCCCAGACGCAGAGTAGCTTGTGATTGGCTCGGGCTGCGGAACCTCGGAAACCAGAATGTGAGGACCTTACGGATCCACAGCTGCCGCCCCCCGCAGAAATCCTGCGCGCGGTCAGAATCCCACTGGCGGCGGCGGCGGCGGCGGCGGCGGTAGGTAAGGCGACTCCTGAGGACAAAGTAGATGGACTTGGGTCCGCTGCGCTCAGTGTCGCTCAAGCGAGGGGAGGAGAGGCTCACACCCAGCGTGTGGTGTAGGGCGACGGGAACAATGGAAGTGGCGTCTAGTCTCTAAGCTTTCCCTCCCGCTCGGGCGCACAGTTTTTGTCCTCAGCCGCAGGCGGTGGCTGGAGGACTTGAGGGAAGTGTGTCCTCCTCAGCCGACCTCTTCTTCCCGTAGGCCGGAGCCCCTGAGGGCGAGAGCCGTCGTTGAGGCCGTCGGTGGTTTAGGGTGACGGGAAAATGGCGGAAAACAAAACGGCGAAGTGAAGAATGCGACGTCCCCCTGGCATTCTTTTCCGGCGCCCCCCCCATTATTCCTTTCACTTGCGCCCCCCCAGCCCCTCCCCCACCCGCCGCGAATGGTAACCTTGAAATGGCGAGGGATGACGGCGTTTGCGAGGAGGTGGCACCGAATCGGGCATTTTAGGGGATAGAGAGCCGTCAGAGCCTGCGGGGTGGGGGGGCGTGTGCGGCAAGTGTCGCCTCCGCGAACACACCACCATTTTGGTTCCCAGCCTTATCCCGTGTAGCGGGGCAGAGGGAGCGGGAGGAGGGTTGGGCAGCACGGCGAGGGGAGCAGCGGTGCCGACCGCTGCACCAAGTGAGACAAGGGAGGAGGGGAAAGGGTATTCTTGTCTCTTCGCTCTCCGCTTTTCCACAGCGAAGGTTCTCTTGTTCTGTTCAAGATCCAGTCCGAAGGGTAAGATATGAGAGGGCACGCGTGTGTGTGTGCGTTCTGCTCGAAATGATTGAAACTTGGCATGATCTTGGGAATGGGAGACTTATGCGGGAAGAGGGTTGCGTCCAAAGCTGCAATACTGCTACTTGCCAGGGCTCCTTTGTCTCCTGTCTCTGCAAATAGTACTTTCACATTCTCTTGCGCTGCCGCCTCAGATTTCTCTTCCATCCCTTACCCTGTTTACATCACCAAGAAGCTGGGTCCTGAATGAGCTATGTTTAAAAGAGAAGGCTGAGAGTAAAATTGGTGTGTGTGTGTGTGTGTGTGTGTGTGCGTGTGTGTGTGCGTGTGTGCGCGCGCGCGCGCCCGTTCGCGCGCGCGGGTGCAAAAGAGAGATTTCTGCTCCCCGTGCATTGCTGGAAAGATGTTTACTTGAAGCGTACTTGGTGGTTACCTCCATTCAATAAGGATATGAGAAGGACTCTTGAGAAGACTGAGAAGCTGAGCTGTCTACGGGCCACTGAATACTTACACTGTTGCTCTCATACCTCATTTATTATTGGTTTTATTGAAACTTTATGGGAAAAAAGGTACTACAATTTATTTTGTATTCACACTGTGATACTTCCCACAATAGTTTCACTATGTGTTCAAATTTTTACACTTCATTGAGCGCTGGTGTAGATTTTTCTCTATGGCTTTGGCAAGGATAAAGCTTGCCCTTGGTTGGTTCTTTTTCACTTTCCTAAATACGGTGTTGCTAGTGATTTTTAAAATGTACCTTAGAGAAGCTTTTGGTTTAATCAAGCAGTCGAACTCTAAGCAGTAACGTTGCTTATATTGTAATAGGTAGTTGTTTCTATTGGTTGCTTTTTAGATTAACAAATTTAAGTGTATGAGCCCTTCCCAACCTCATCCTGCACAATAAAAATATAAAGAAAAATTCCCAAGTTGTGTAAGAGATTTGGTTTAAGATGTTTTAAAATATCTCATTTTGAATGTGTTTTTACAATAGGTAAAGAACATTTTTCCAAAGAAAAAAAGAGTTCAGAAGGAAAAATAAAAATGAAATTGCTGGAAATTTTATTTTATAATATGTAAGAAAATCTACAATTTCTCCAAGACACTATATAAGGTGATTAAGAAATTACAATGTTTTATCTAATAATTAACCAAAATTAAATATTTAAAATATTTTTTAGACATTTATAATTCTATTAATTATGTGATAAAGAAAGCAATTAGTCTAATTAAGGTTGAAATAGCAAACGGTTTCTAATGTTAAAAATAAGTCCTTATGGCATTTTAATTTATCTCTGAACACACAGGTAGTCTATTGTGAACTCTTGACTTCGTTTTGAAGGTAGAAAACAATGTGGTATTTAAAAAAAGATAACAGAATGTAACTAAGGATTTCTAAAATCTTGTAATTTTGCTCATACATAAAACATAAGATAATTTTGTCTGAATCATTTGATATACAGAAATATCTCCTACTGCTGTAGGATTTTTATATATATGACTCAAATGTTGATAGAGAGTATTCTGTGAGACTCTCCTGCCTTCTGTACACCTATAGAACTTAAAGGCAAGAGAAAAAAACCTTAGCAATCTCCTCTGTACTTAAGGATAGATGAAGTTGTTTTACATGGCAGCTTTCTACAACTTTCATTAATTATCTTTTGTGCAACATAGCCCTATTTATTAAATACCTCTATCTAAAAAATGAGATAAATGTTTTATAAAATTGGCAGATTTTTTTGGTTGATTTACTTAGAATCTTATGTTTGAAGGGGAAATACACATATGTAATTGTAAGAAATATGTTGAGTAACAGCATCTGACTTTAGGTTCATATTATCTGGTGATCTTAGATATAGGATAAGTCATTTGAAATGAAACATGTTGACCTCTTGCTTTCAAAACTAGCATGAGGCTAGCATGACTTTATTAATCATTAATTTTAAAAATCCGTTTTACAATTACAAGTAAATGATATTCTGAAAGAAGCAATTTGCTAAATGTTGGTATGTGATTGATTTTATCTCTACCATATTTAGGAAGCAGTCATGTTTCATGAGCCCTCAAAACTGAGACAAGAGAATGTAGTAGAGTGAGCTCGGAAGTCCTTACTGACTCAAAGAACTCCAGGGAAACTGGGATAGAACATTTTACATTATAAGTAGAATCCCGAGAGCCTGAGGTGAAACACAGGTTTATCTGCAGAGCTCCGCTGCAGGGTTGATCTGGGTCTGGAAGAAATGGATGACAGCCACTGGATGAAATTCACTAATACTAGACACCTGAGTCTTCTAGTAATGTATAACTATCCCAACTATTGTCATTTGTCATCTTGTCCTTTTTCTTTTGCTTTTATTACCTATATTTTAACTGAAACCTCAACACTACTGTTTTGTTCTTTTGCTTGCTTCTATCACTTCCCCCTATGGCTCATCACCATTACTGTGTCTTACTCTCCATTATCTTTGGTTTACTTCTGCTTGGCCTTTCTTTTATTTATGGTTGTCACATAAAACATTTAATCAAGGTTTTCGTTTGTTTTGTTTTCCTTTGTAATGAGATTCCCATACCTGGTCCAGAGGCATATTTTCAATTGCATTGTTTTTCTCAAAACAACTGACTGGCCTAAATGTACTTAAACTGTTTTAAAAACCATTTCTTTTACAGAGATTTGTGAATGAACTTTGCTAAGTATGGATTCAGGTGGAGGAAGTCTTGGATTGCACACATCAGACTCTAGAATGGCCCATACCATGATTATGCAGGATTTTGGTAAAGCATTTTCTTTGTTGTATTTTTTCTTTCTTTTTTAAAAGTCAGAACAAACTAAATATAAAAACTACATTGAGGAAGGGGAGAGTTACAGTGAAAATTTTTGTTAGGAAAATACATTTGTAGGGCTTATTTCCTTAAAGTAAAGCTGTATGTCCATAGTCTACTTAAAATCATTCTTAAAATTTTGTGGGAAGGTTGAGGTAAGGAAACTTCGAATATAGTGATAATATGTCATTAGAAATGTAAAACTCAATTCGCATAAATAACTATCAGTTCTCACATGTAGGAACTATTAAATTTGCTTTCCAAAATACATTTTAAGTTGAATTATTAATAAAGCTGGAACAGGAAGTACTTCAGTGATTTTTAAAAAATTAGATGCTTATATAGTGATATAGGAAAATCATGTACTAGGTGATTAATTATACTCTGATGTTATATTCTCAGAAAGTTGTTACTAATAGCATTACTTTTTTTTTTTAAGAAAAGATTTCCTACTTTTGTGGCTGTTTTTCTGGAGCCTCTTAACAGTAGTCATTTTGATGATGATGCTAAGACTCTATAGACAATCCACAAAGAAACTGAATTTGGGCAGGGTGTCTGAATTATAGAAGAGATAGAGAGGTATCTGAAGTATAAGAGGCAGGGATAGGGTGTTAAGAATTGAAGAAAAGATTGGACTGAGAGTTATAAGAATAAAAAAGACATGATAAATTGGGATGAAAAGTAAACAGAAAATATTAGGTATTATGGAATTGTCAAAGATAAAATTAAGGATGAGAATTCTTTGCTTAATTAAGAAAATGCTACTACCGTTTTCAGATAATATGCTTGAATATGTAATTTTGTCCCCTGTTATAATTCTGGTCTTAGCAGTCTATTCACTATCTGTGTAAACTTGGGCAGATTACTTAGTTCACTTTTATGAGGGGGTTGGACTAGATAACATTTAAGTCCCTCTCTAATTATTTGATTCCTTGACATTTCTGCCTGATGAATAAAGGTAATAAAGGTGTGGTGTGTAGTTGAAGATTGAATGTAGTGGCGAACATGATGACTAGTTAATTGATGAAATAGTAAGGAATCATGGATTTATTCTGCTAAGAGTCGGAATTGAGTTGTGTTGATTATGGATGACTTGAAGTGATTTTGGTGGAAAACAATTACAGGAATAAAATCTAGAAGGACAAAGGGCTGAAGAGTAAGATTTCACAAATGATTTTAAAATACTGGAACACTAGAACTTCAATATGTTAAATAAGTTTTTGTTGAAATGTCAACTTTAATTTTTTTACCTTTTAAAAATATGATATTTTTAAGATGAAAGAAATATAATATTTTCTCCACTTAATACAAAATGTTACCTACTCTAAAATTTGGTAAGTGCCAGACCACCTCTTCATTCCGGAAGTTGCCTGTTAGCAAGTAAAACGTGATACCTTTCAAAGATTGAAAAAAAAATGTCTGATTGGTGCTGGTGAATATTTATTAGATATTCCTCTTACCTTCCTTTTCATTGTTCCTCCTCAATGTTTTGAAGTTTAATTAGTTCCCTTATTACATCTAATACCTTATTTCCTTTTAGCTGCTAGGGAAGTGGAACATGCATATTGAAATATTTTTATGTACATTATTTTTTTCTTATTTATTTTTATTGAGGTATAATTAATATACCATATAATTCACCCATGTTGAAGAATACAATTCAGAGGTTTTTAATACAGTCACAACATTGTGCGACCATCACCACTACCTAATTTCAGAACATTTTGTCAGCGTAAAAATAAACCTCATCACACTCGGTAGCAGTCACTCCCTACCTCCCCCCACCCTTAGACCTAGGCAACCACTAATCTTTCTGCCTATGTATTTATCTATTCAGAACATTACACATAAGTGGAATCATACCACACGTGGCCTTTTCTATCTGGCTTCTTTTACATAGCATAATGTTTTCAAGTTTTATCTACGTTGTAGCATGTATCAGTACTTCATTCCTTTTTACTGCCAAATAATATTCCACTGCATCGGTAAACTACATTTTGTTTATTCATTCATTAGTTGACAGACATTTGAATTTTTGAAATATTTTTAACGCATTAGAATGCTTTTTTGTTTGACCTACAGCTTTGTGTCTTAGACTGGAGTGTAAGTGCCCTTGGAGGCAAGTGGCAACGTGCCAGGTTGTACCTGAAACCACAGGATAAACAGCACATCTGCTTGGAATACCTTTCATTAGAATTGGGGAGAATACACATGCACGCATACAGATACAGTTATACTCACATAAACGTGTTATGTGATAGAAAGCAAAATTTTCATTCACTATCTCCTGCCTTTTTGTGAGTAATAAAATGTAAAAGTTTGAGAACTATCCAGATTTTTAATTTAAAGCCCTTTCTAAAATGAATTTAATAGAGTAAATCAATTTATTTATAACAGAAAAAATTTAAAGCCACAGTTTTTTGTTATACTGCTGTTCATGATTCAGCTGCCTAGTAGTATTTTGTAGTTATTGGTTTTTGAAAGGGGGCAATCTTTTAAAAGTATTTTTAAATTTAATTTTTATGCTCTTTTAAATTTAGACAAATAACTAGATAGCAACTATTATAAATTGTTTTTACATTTTTGGTTAAACTGTTTTGCTGAATATCCATTTAGATCAGAAATGGCTAATATGGGTAATGTCCACTCCATTGTGTTTAGGGATGATGTTGACATAAAGCTTAAGTTAGTAGGTTTCCTTGGTAAAGTAATTTGTCCTTGGTAAATAAATTCTGAAATCTTAGAAGGCAGAAACTCTTTATATTTTTTTGATGTGCAGTTCCAAGCTGAATTGCATGTATAGGTGTTTTCATCTTTTGTATGATATTTTACTAACCATTGTCGCTTCCAATAAACTTTAATTAAAAAAATAATATAAAAAAAGGACACATGGATTTAAAAAGGGAGTAATGGTTACCAGAGGGAAAGGAGGTAGGGGGTGGTGGGTGAGGGTAAAAGGGATCAAATATATGGTGATGGAAGGAGAACTGACTCTGGGTGATGCACACGCAATGTGATACATAGATGATGTATTACAGAACTGTACACCTGAAACCTTTGTAGCTTTACTAACAATTGTCACCCCAATAAATTTTAATTAAAAAAATTAAAAACAAACAAAAGAAATTAGATACATTCTATTGAAATTTCTGCTAAAATAAAAACTTAGATATTTGCAATTCCATAAATCATTGATATTTGTGGAATAGAGTTTAGCATACATAGATGAAGATTGCTAAGTAAATATACTGTGTAGCACAGGATCTCTAAATTATATAAGATGCTTGGTTGGGATGGGATGGCTACTATATTAAGAAGCTGAAACATGAATTTAATTCAGAAATTCATTAGACCAGTTTCTTTTGAAGGATATTTGAAATTTTCAAATTTACAATATTATGTAATAACCATGCTCATGTCTCAGTATAATGGTTGTCCTTAGATTGTGTGCCATTGAATTTAATAGTTGTTTAAGATTTTATTGTTGCAAAAAGTCTGTGTTGCTTTGGGACTTACATAGCTAAACAGTCTTAGATAGTGACCCAAGACAGACCCTAAAAATACCAAATTTTATACTACCCCTGTGGTGAAATTCCAGGTATTCACATTTAAATGAAATAACTTCAGTAAAATGGGAAATGCTTGAAATGATGACTTGTTTTTTACTGTTACCTGGTTATCTAATTGATTTCATACCTTTTAAATGATTTTTCTTACTGTTTGTAATTTGCTACCTAGTGAGAGAAAATTTTAATGCCATTTAATGCTGCTTTAAATACTTTAAAATTTAAATGAGTGACTGTGTTATAGGTCTTTTTACTCTTACACTATTCCTTTAGTGGTGACTAACATGGTTAACCTTACAAATCTCTTAAAAAACAGTCCCTAGAATAAATAAATTCTATTCTCCTTTTTTAAGAAAGTAGAAAAAAACCCAGTCTGGAGTCAAACAATGAGTTCAGGTCCAAGCTTTAGCCATGGACTAGCTTATTTAAACTCCCTAAACCATAGTTACTTCATATTTAAAATGGGGATAATAACAACTCACCTTATTATACATATACAGTTGTTCTGAGGCTTAAATAAGATAATATATGTAAAAATATTAGTGGGTTGCTGGGTGCATAGTTGGTGCTCAATAAATGTACCTTAGTGTAAAGCTAAATAAGTGACTTTGTTTAGAAATTCAATAGAATCTAACATATGAACTGATAAGAGGAAAGAGCAAAATTTCACAGTAGACATTTTGAATCTTGATCTGAGTAATCTGCCAGTACACTGTGGGGAACTCATGAATTCTTGGACTAAGATCTTTGACATTATTTAATTCAGGGTAAACAAGCATATTTGAGTTGATTCTAGTTTAGATCTGATTTATTTTGACCTATAATGTTCTATACTAGAGTAGAGGCTAGGTGAACTGAAAAGCACTCATTCCATCATTTTAGAATCTTTCCATTCTTCCGTAGTGTTTACTCTCAGGAACCAAACTAACCTCCAGTAATGCTCTAAAATGAATGGAATTTCCCGTATTTTAACTCTTTTATGTTCATGTGTCCTTTTTATTTCAATTTTAATATTTGAAATACTAGACTTGTGAAAAGATTTTATAACATTAATTTTATTGTTTATATACATATAACTCCAATAATGTGAATTTTATAGGCTTAACATTTAATTTTTCCTTGCTAAAACCATATTTCCAGTTTGGTTGAATACTGAATTTGAAACTCCCCTCCCCTCTCTGAAATGGCCAGTGGAGTAATAAGTGAATAGAAAGTACTAATTTTTTATATACTCACTTTATCTACCAGATTTTCGAGTTTGAGGCCATGTTCTTTTGGGGTAATATGGTGGTTTAGGTAAGAGTTTGAGAAGAGTGAGAAGGATACAGAAGGGTTGAAAGGAAGATAATCCTGAAAGGCAGCTTTCCCTTCTCACTTTACTTTTTGATGGGTTAGGGTATTCACGGTGTTCACTGGTCTCCATCGTAACTTGTTAACTAACTTCCATAATGAATTGGTTAATAATAGTGAACACTCTATAGCAAATGGCACTCTTTCAGGTATTACTTTATAGAAAGTGATCATTAGTGGAAGAGGCTTTGTACATCATTATATGGAAAAGGCTTTGTACTGGATTATTTAATGTAGATAATTTTGTTATAACCTGGTCCACAAACTCTTTTAATTTGTTCACTGTACTACCTCAGGGAGGCAGAATTTAATCGAGTTCCTCATGAAGGGATTTTATACTCACAATATTTACAAGGGAAGTAGGAGTTGGTATTCACCATGGTGCTCAAGAAAAACATTTAAAGCTTTGTTCTGCAGATTTACTAATTTAGAATTTAATACAATTTAGAGTCCATATGTATGATTTTTTAAATCAAACCAGATCTTTGTCTAAAATGAGTTTGTTTTTTCCCCCAAAATCAGGTGTTAAAAGATGCCTTCTACTTTTGAATGTAGTAATTCTTGTGAGTTAAAAAATCCAGGGACTTTTATGCTTATTTTATAATGTTTTAAGATTGTCATCTTATTAACTCACTTAATTTAACATACTAACACTCTCATGTTCATATGTGCTTTTTATTTGAATTTTAATTTTTGAATTACTAGACTCACAAGAAGTAGAAAAAAATAGTACATAGGGTCCTGTGTACTCTTTACTCATCTTCCTCTAATGGTGACATCTTATATAACTGCAGTACAATATCAAAACCAAGAAATTAACATTGTTGCATTACTGTTAACTAGATTACAGACCTCATTCTGTTTTTATCATCTTTTTACATATATTTGTATGTGTGAATGTGTATACTTCTGTGCAATTGTATCCCATGTATAGATTTGTGTAAACACCACAATGAAGATACGGAACTATTCCATTATCATATATATGCTATTCCAATATATTCACACACATACACACACACACACACACACATACCTTTAGCAACTGCTAATCTGTTCTCCATCTCTATAGTTTTATTATTTTGAGAATGTTATATAAATGATTCCATTTATACATTATACAGTATCATAACCTTTGGTAATTGGCTTTTTCCATTCAGCATAATATCCTGGAGATTCATTCAGGTTGTTGAATGTATTGATAAGTTGTCCCTTTTTTATTGCTGAGTAGTATTCCATGGTTAAGGATGTGCCAGAGTTGGTTTAACCAACCATTCACCTGCTGAAGGATATTTGGGTTGCTTTCAGTTTTTTGCTACTATGAGTAATAGCTACTATGAACTATTATACATATTCATGTACAATTTTTTTATAAACATATGTTTGAATAACTCTTTGGGAAATGTCCTAGAGTGCAGTTTTTGAGCTGTATGGTAAGTGCATGTTTAGTTTTGTAAGAAACTGCTAAATTGTTTTCCAGAGTGGATGCTACCATTTTACATTCCCACTATCAGTGTGTGAGAGAGCGACTTTCTCCTCATTCTCACCAACCTGTGGTGTTATCATTATTTTTTATTTTAGCTGTTCTAATTAGTGTGTAGTGATATCTCACTATGACTTTTATGGTTTTCTTGAAAATAAAGTACATTATTTTTAAGGTCTAAATTTAGGATTTGCAAACATTGTTTTCACCCACCTGCACCCCAGTTCCTGGTTGGTGATTGTTTTTATTGCAGTCAAATTGTCAGTGGTTTTTTAAAAATGATAGTTTGGCCAGGACTGTTTCATACTTAAAAGTATTTTGTGTCATCTGATATGTTAAATACAGTATTTTTAATTAATAAAATAACTTTACTTTTTTGGATAATTGTTTGTATTATAGTGGCTGGAATGGCTGGTACTGCGCATATCGATGGAGACCATATTGTTGTTTCAGTTCCTGAGGCTGTATTAGTTTCTGATGTTGTCACAGATGATGGCATAACTCTTGATCATGGCCTTGCAGCTGAAGTTGTCCATGGGCCTGATATCATCACTGAGACTGATGTAGTTACGGAAGGTGTAATTGTTCCTGAAGCTGTACTTGAAGCTGATGTCGCCATTGAAGAAGATTTAGAAGAAGATGATGGTGATCACATCTTGGCTTCTGAGCTAATTACAGAAACGGTTAGAGTACCTGAGCAGGTTTTTGTGGCTGACCTTGTTACTGGTCCTGACGGACACTTAGAACATGTGGTCCAAGATTGTGTTTCAGGAGTTGACTCTCCCACAATGGTATCAGAGGAGGTTCTTGTAACGAATTCAGATACAGAAACTGTGATTCAGGCAGCTGGTGGTGTTCCTGGTTCTACAGTAACTATTAAAACTGAAGATGATGATGATGATGATGATGACGATGATGATGATGTCAAGAGCACTTCTGAAGACTACTTAATGATATCTTGTAAGTGAAACATAATTACTTGGGAGATTTGATTAATATATAACCTGGAAAGGTTTTCTGGGATAGGGGATCTGTATAATAAAAGTCATGATAATCTTGAAAAAAATTTTTTTTTCAAAGCCGTGTTGTTGAGATACTTTTTTGAATTTGTTCATTTTTAAAATTTACTCAATGAAAATTCATACCCAAAAGGAAGTAAAATAATACAATTTATTAATATCTTAGAACAAATACATACTTGAAGGTTCAACACGAAGATTAACTGATAAAAAAAATTTAATGGTAAATATATATAGTATTTCAAAATGGCAAGTTTAGTTTATGTAACCACTGCTTTCTTTTTAATATGTCAGGTATTGCAGTTGTCAGTTCACTTTTTCTCAGGAATTTAAGCGTAATATGTTAAGATATGTGTAATTAGGTTTTTAATTAAATACTTGAAAAGTAAATCATAAACCTAGATTGTATTCTACAGTTCTCCCTGTGTTTATTTGGCTAAATATGTGTTTGTATAGTTTATGCAAAAACACTTTAACATGTTTATTTCAGAATGCTAATGTCCTTAAGACATTCTAGTTGAAGGAGGAAGATAGAAATATCTTGTTCTCATTTTAAGTGGTGGGTTTGCCTGAACAGCAACAATAATAAATATCTAATGATGAGTTATTGATGGAGCTGGAGGAAGAAGTATATCTATTCTTTACAAAATTTGAAGGGATCATGCTGGAAGTAGTAAAGATTAGATGAAGACTTCACTTTTCCATGGAGGATGTTTATCCTTTTATTTATTTATTTATGTATTTATTTATGTATTTATGTATTTATTTATGTAAGTAGCATTGGTGTACAATCTTATATTGGTTATATTAGTTTCAGTTTGTGCAATATAGTGATTTGACATTTTTATACTCAGTGTGATCACCCCATTAATTCTAGTAATCATCTGTCACCGTGTAAACTTACCACAATATTATTGACTTTCGTTTTCAACCCATGCCCCCACACCCTCCCTTCTGGTAACCATCCCGCTATTCTCTGTTTCTATGAGTCTGTTTTCATTTTGTTTGTTTCCTTTTTGTTTTTAGATTACACATCTAAGTGAAACCATATGGCATTTGTCTTTCTTTGCCTGACTTATTTCACTTAGCATAATAACCTCTAGATCCATCCGTATTGTCACAAATGGGAAGATTTTATTTGTTTTTATTGATGCATAATATTCCATTTTATTTATTTATTTATTTATTTATTTATTTATCACATCTTTACCCATTTATCTATTGATGGACACCTAGGTTGCTTCCATATTTTGGCTATTGTAAATAATGTTGAAATGAACATAGGTGAGCATATACCGAGGGTGCGAAAAAATGTATACACATTTTAAGAAAGGAAAACTGTATTAAAATTGTAATACTCAACATATGCTGATAAGAAAAGATGAATACAAGTCACACTTGACTTCTGCAATTACAAGAGGTGCTCAAAGTGTCCAGACACTACTGATTACGGCAAACTACTGCTTGAGCAACGTTGACCAAAGTGTCCAGTTGTATACATTTTTTGGTACCTGCGGTATCTTTTCGAATTAGTATTCTTGTTTTCTTTCGGTAAATACCCAGAAGTAGAATTGCTGGGTCTTATGGTGTATCTATTTTTGTTCTTTTATTTTTAAAATAAAAAATGGTTAATTGGGAAGTACATCGCCAGGTAGAGTGTATGTATGTATATATAAAGTGATTGTATGTTATATGTGTGTATCAGTGAATTTAAAATGAAAACCAGATTAATTTAATTTGTAAATATGATTCTGAAGTCTAGTGTATTAACTTTTTCCTTTATAAGAACTTTCAAAGGTGAATATTTACATTGTTTTTAAGGGAATGATTTAAGCCACTAAAAGACTGTAAATGTTACTACCTTTATTTAAATTGACAGGGATTACTAAAATAATTGCATATTTACATTTTAACCTGACATTGTAAAAAAAAACCAAAAACCTGTGGTTATGGTTATATAAAATTGTGTGGCAAAAAAAAGAAAATTTGATTATATAAAATTGTGCACCAAAGTGAATTCATTGTGCTCTGAAAAGGGTACTTGCTGGGCTGGCCGATGGCGCGTTGGTTAAGAGCTGGCTTGGGACAACAGAGGGCCCCGGTTTGGATCCCACATATGAGGGCCAGTGACACTGCTCTCTACAGCTAAGATGCTGAACAACAGCTCAACCTGGAGCTGGGTTGCAGTGAGTTGCCTGCACGGCGTAGGCTGCAGCCCCTGCTGCAGTGGGCTGCCATGAGCTACTGTGTGTAGCCAGCAGCCAGCGTGAGCGTTCCTCAAGCCGCCATGAGCAGCCGCCCAGAAGCCGGAGACTGATCTGCCTCGCCCGGGAAAAGCGCAATGATGATGCCAACTTGGGCCACAGAAGCAATGTCCTCCACAACTAGACTGAAGAACAAAAAGACAGCAACTTGTCTGTTCCCCTTCTCCCAATTCCCCAGTGCTGTTTCCATCCCCCAGTTTTCCAATAAAAATCTTTAAGAAAAAAAAGCGTACTTGTTAAATTAAACTCTTTGTTATTAAAGTGGTCTAAAGTTTAGACATCATGTATTATGAATAGTCATACCTTAATATATCTTCTATGATTTGATTCTGCAAAAGGCTTTTACAAATGTTTCTAAAAAATTTTAATTTAGAATATTTATCTTGATGTTACCATATATATCAAATGCAAGTAATTTCTGTCCTACTCTAATAGACGTAGACTGAAAATTATAAAGAACACTGTATTGCTTGAATAATGTTGGAACTGCAGTGGGATCATCCTAAGTGAATTTCGACTGGGGATTAATTAAATCTTTAATCATTAGTAAAGAAACAGCAAAATTAAAAAAAAACACCTCTTTAAAACTAGCAATTTTTATTTTGGAAAATGGGATATACAGAAATTAAGTATTTTTTATATTACCCATTTTCCCACCATCCAGGTCCTTGACCATTTTAATAGTGGTTATGGTTATAATACTCAAATTGGTACTAGATACTATTTCTTACCATTTTCATACATTCTATTTTGATTTGTTTTTTTTTTTCATCTCAATCTTTATTTCATATTCTGTACCTCTTGGTTTCTGTTGACCGTTGAATCTTTCAGGAGTTAGAGAATAAATGGCTCTGAAAGGCCTCAGTGTTAGTTTAAAAAGCCCTCTCCTGTTTTTTTTCCTCCAAAATGGAGATTTTGAAACTATCTAAGAGATAAAGTTGAGGACTTACAACAGACCTTTGCCTTCTTATGACTGTTTATAACAAATATTATGTCTTAATTTTAGATCACTTTATTACCAGAGTTTAATTTGTTCCTTAATCTCTGAATAATGCTATAAAGAAATCTTGTCAGTAGCTGAATTTTAGAGATGGAGAGTTTGTCTTCTCTCAATATCTGAGGTGTAACCGAGTTTTTTCCTCTTTCAGATGAAACGTCACAAATTCTTTATCTTAGCAGATGGTTAGGCTCTCTCACTTGTGCTAGCTAAGTAGCTTGGAAATTACCCGTAATATAGGATAACGCTATCTATTTAGCGCCAATAGAATTCTGTGGTGTATATAATATTACCAGCGCATTACTGGGTTAAAATGGCATATGGGTTCAGAAACAACACTTTGGCACTTGAATATTGCAAGGCTTACAATGAACAAAAAGGTTAAGTTTGAGTTTGGGGTATTTTGAATATTATCTGCGTTAAGAAAATTATTTGAGGATCTATGCCTAAAGTTAGTTGCTTGCCTTTTAAGTCTCTGTTAACTTTGTACTTTCTGTAACAAAGAATATAGTGGGGTCTAGGAAAAGTCATGACGTGTTTTTTCTATGTTTTTCGTTGCAAAAATGTGTCATGACATTTCCGACAACCCAATAGAATAAATCTTGAAGTTGATGGTTTCTCTATTGAACTTGCACACTAGCATCTTTAATAACATTGTCGTCTTCTATGAGCTTAAAATACAGAACAAGTCTAGTTACTCAATACATTTCAAAATTGCTCATTCTGAGGAATCTAAGTAGAAAATAATGGGTACATTAAATTATGGACCTTAAAAATGTATAAATGGAATCAGAGTAGCAACAGTAATTTCAATACTTAAAATGAAAATTAAGACACAAACTATTAAGAAATGACAAAAAAAAATGTGTATTTTATTTCATGAGCTTTAATTTTGTGAATTAGAGTTTTAATTCAGTTTATCCCAACAGGAACTGGAATCACTTTAAACCACTCAGGTACAAATAAAGCTCTGACATGAGTGTGTTTTTATTCACTAATTTACTATAAATTATTAAAATTAAGAAATTCATATTTTGAACACTTTGAGGCTTGTGTATAATTTATGTCTTGATTTTCAAGAATGAGAAAATACTTTTTTTAAAGACTTAACTTGCTTTTAAAAATTTTTTTCTATGACCTTGTTTTATACAACATATTTTAGAAGAGAATCTATTAAACGAATAGTAACAGATACTTCATCATCTTTTTTTTCTTTCATTTTAATCTGTTCCATTGCTTGAAAAATATTTGCCAAAAATGCAGTAATAGAATTAGGGATTGTGAAGGAATGAAAATCTTTAGTTTATTTCTTTCATAGATAATAAACTATTTGAACTCTTAAATAGTATGAAATCATTTATATTTAATCATAAAGCTAAAGTAGCTTTGCATTGTAAAATGAATTTCTGAAATTTGTTGTTTTTCACCATTTTGAAAGACCAAAGGAATATTTTTGAAAACGTATATCAAATTTGAAACTGAGGTAGTGAAAATCTAGACTTTGACCCATTTAGATCTTCCTGAAATTTATTTTTTAAGAGTACTGAGTTAATAACTTTTAAATGTTATTTTCATTAGTTCTGGAATTTTTAGATGTAGTCAGAGGCCAGGATTTTGTTTCATATATCATACTGTGATATACATATACATATCATACTATGATGTACAGATTTTCAATTTAGATGACATTTCAGTTTTTGGGTGGACAGGCATTGAAATGAAAAATGGTAAGCATATAATATTTGGGGAATATATTGTTAAATATTTATGGTCAAAAAAGAAAGTTTATTAATATAGAATCATTGCATAGTTTGTGCATAGTATTCATGTGAAACTAAAAATTTTTGGGGTTTTTTAAAGATTTTATTGGGGAATTGAGGGAGAGGAACAGTGTTGGGGAATTGGGAAAGGGGACCAGCCAAGTTGTTCTTCAGTCTTCATTGTGGAGGGCGCCAGTCGCCATCTGGCTTCCCGTCCACAGAGCCATCCTAGTGGCAGCTCAGCTCAAGGTGCCAAGTTCAGTCTTAGTTGTGAGCGTAGCCCACCATGGAACAGGCAATCTTGTTACACCAGCTGAGCCATCCTGCCACCTGTTGGCAGCTCAGCGGCAGCTCAGCTCTGGCACCAGTCACTGGCCCACTTGGGAATCGAACCAGCGGCCCTGTTGCTCAGAGCTTGTGCTTTTAAGCCAGCTCTTAACCAACTGAGCCACTCGGCTGGCCCCTAAAAGTTATTCTTAAAGACAGTATAGCAGAGCATCAATTTTTTAAAGTATACATAAAATGTAACTAATATTCTCAAATATTGTTGCTTTATCTTTGTATATGGTTTTGAAGTAAAGCATACGTGAGTAAATCAAGAAGTATACAAAATTTCTGTTTGAAGTTGTCTTCCATTGACTCAACAGAAATTAAAAGTATGTACTAAGATTTTATTTTTATAATTATTTCTGAAAAGCCCGTTTTATAAAACCAGGTGTTTTCTGTTTTCTCTTTTTTCAATCCTAGATTTCTTATGTTAATTGGTTTGAGAAATACTGCTATTTAAGTTGGGATTTGTTTCTGTGAACTTATTTTATGAGTACTATGTATTTTATGTTTTAATTTTTCTGTTATTAATTTTGGTGTTAAGATTTAACTTAACATGTTGAACGTGATGGAAGATTATTTAATCTTTTCCCAAACCATTTTAATTAAAGTGGTATGGTTATTAAATATTTCATATATGTAAACTGAAATCTGTGAATAGGTTTTTTATGTAATTATGATTGTGTAGTATATCTGATCTTATACACTTTTTTCATGAAACTCACCACTCTTAATGGTGGCATAATAGGTCATTAAGTGAATATAGTGGGAGAGTAATTAACACATTATTTCATGTTGCACTTATGCTTAACACCCACTAAATTTCAATGGTACTTTTTGACTGAAATAGTTTCCTTTTTATATTTTACAGTGGATGATGTTGGGGAGAAATTAGAGCATATGGGGAACACACCGTTAAAAATCGGCAGTGATGGTTCACAAGAAGATGTTAAAGAAGATGGATTTGGTTCAGAAGTAATAAAAGTGTATATATTTAAAGCTGAGGCTGAAGATGATGTTGAAATAGGTACAAAGACTAATGTTAGTTTATTGCTATAATAGGAATGAGAACTTACTTATTTACGTTCCTGGCAACTGTTCTAAAATTGTCTTCAAAGTGCAGATTTTTATAGGTTTCTTTGAGGATGGAATATTAAAAAGTTGTATATGAATATAAAGCAAGAATGCAGAATATGTCATTCTTAGATTTCTTTCAAACATGAGTAGAATATTACAGTTGAAATATTAAAACAAATAAGTGTAGAGGATTTGGTTCAGAGTAGGAAATAATGAGTATTTAGGACAAGCTAGAAGCAGGATGCTTAGATTTTAATCTTAGTTCTGCCATTTAGCTGAGTGGCCTTCGGGGAGTTACTTAACCTTCTTCCTCAGTCTCTCATCCATAAAATGGCCACAATGATAGTAACTACCTCATAGGGCTATTGTGAGGATTAAATGGGTAAAAACTGTAACAGACTTATTATAGTGCTTGGCATATAAATGTGATCTGTTATTTCTGTGATGACTGAAAAGTTAATGTGTAATTTATAAGAAAATTCTCTTGACACTTAGATATTTATATTGGGGAAATATTTTTCTAAAGGAAAATATTTCTTATATATCTTCTTTATTAATTTAGGAAATTGTTCCATGATACTTTTCTGTTTTGATATGTGTTTTAATTTTTAAGGCGGAACAGAAATCGTCACAGAGAGTGAGTACACCAATGGACATCCTGTAGCTGGAGTGCTTGACCAGAGCCGAATGCAGCGGGAGAAGATGGTTTACATGGCAGTTAAAGATTCTTCTCAAGAAGATGATATCAGTAAGGGAAAAGGGCACTGTAGTGACTTATGAGTAACTGTCATGTAGTTTTTTAAAATAAAGCAATCTCAGAGATACAAGCACTATATAGGAACCAAGTTCACTAAAATCATCCTGACCCTTTGCTGTAATTAATTTAAAAGGGAAGGGCCCTTTTGACGATTCATGCATAAACGTAGTATTCAAATTGGCAAACGTGAAATGCTTTGTCTCAGATACTAGTGATACAGACATGAGCAACATGTGGCTGCTGACTTCAGTAGAGCCCACAAAGATACAGAGAAGCTACTTTGTGTGTGTTAATGTGTATGTTGCATGTATATTATCATTTAATTCTCACAACTTATTTCTGAGGTAGGTGGTATTATCTCTGTTTTATGCAAGGAAAAAATGCTCAGGGAATTTAGTAATTGCCTGAGATCATTCCAATATTAAGTGAGGAAGGTAGGATTTGAACTCTTATCTGTCTAACTCTACTGCCAGAGTTCATTGCACACAGCAGTGAGCACTGTTGTCTCTCTCTGGATTTAGCAGGGGAAGGGCTAACTGGTTGTTCTCCTTCTGTCCCTGAGGGATTAGCTGAGTAAGTATTCTTACAAGTCAAGCTGCCAAGATCTATACTTATTATGCCTTTGATGGTCTCCAAGTAGTTGCTGCTTAAGGCTTCTTGAGGCTGAGTTCCACAGAGTGGAAAGAAATCCTCAAATTTCCTTTCCTACCATTTCCTTATGAAGACATTTTATTTTCTGCCTACTTTCTCTTCACCTCTATGTAGGAATGCAGCCCTACCCTAAGGCTTCTTCTGTCTTCTTGCCATGCTGAGACAAAAAACTACTTTGTCTTGCCCTAGAAGGGGAAGGGCCTCCACTTAAGTGCATTACCTGGACAGTGCTCAGTTTTACCTGTACTGCATTCTGATCCCTACTCCTCAAATTTCCTTCCCTTAGAAGCCATGGGGAGCTGAATTCCAATCCCAAACATGAATAATATGCCACACCTGAAAATATCAAAACAAGTGAGTCTAGAGGATTTGGTTGAAGAGGTAAAGAGTTAAATGAAATAATTTCTATTTGATCTCTAAATTTTGATTGAATGATTGATTGATTAATAGTCATTGGTCAGTAAAGGGGTACAATAGAAGGTGAAAGATTGAAACTTAAGTTAGCTCATTCCAGAATTCCATGGGGATGTGAAAAACTTAGATCAGTGTCTCTTTCTGGTTAATGGAAAGAACAGAAACTTAGAAGAGGAGCACTTTTTTCCCGAAATTTTCCCCACATTTCTTCTATAGTGGTTAGAAGAGTCCAGTATGTGAATCGAAGGAAAAGCATAAATCCAAGCCAATTTTCTATTTAGCAGGTTAAATCTAAATGGATTATTTCACAAGAAATATGCTAAGTGACCCTTTAGATTTCAATTTTTTTACATCAATACTGTATTTTTAAAAATGAGTCTCTCCTGAAACTAAAAAAAATAAAAAATGAGTCACATTTAATGCTTTTTCCTCACTAGGGTCTCAGAAAATCCTACCTCTTCAAGGGTGTCCACATATTCTTGAGCACCAGCATTATATATATAATATATATCATATATATATGATTTCAATGATTTTTATTTAAAGTTTTTTCAGTTACTAGTATTTTTGACTATTTTTCATTGCATGTACAGTACTACATTTAAGTTATAGTATGTGGGATAGCTTGGACCACTTTTCTAGTGTTGATTCTTTGGGAAATGCTTTCTGGGTTCCAAAGAATTATCATCAGTCAGAATTATGGAATACAACCCTTTTAATAAATTTGTAATGCCCAATGGACTGTAAAATCAGTCAACATATTTCAAGCGCACATGTTTTATATAATCCAAAAGTCATTTTTATAGTACTAGGTTCTAAGAAGAGAAAAAGAATTTTGATAAATGATTGTCTCCTAGTGGCACTAGCTTCCAAAGTGCCTATGTAATTTTTAAATTAACCAAATTGAAATCTTGAAAGTTGAAAGATTTAAATTGTTTGGAAATTTTTACCCATTTATTAAATATTTGGGGTTATAAACAAGCAATTATTTCTAAAATTTAGGTTGCGCTGAAATAGCAGATGAAGTTTACATGGAAGTCATTGTAGGGGAAGAGGAAGGAACTTCTCTCCCTGAGACTCAGCTTGAGGACTCTGATGTTAATAAAACAATTGTCCCTGTTGTCTGGGCTGCGGCATATGGTAGGACACTGGCATTTTTTCACCTGATAAGTACATGACATATCTATTTGATCAGCCTTTAGGTCATTAAATATGCTGTGCTAAGGCCCGCATGAGTTGGCTAATATTATCAATGTTTTGCTGTGGACTGATTTATCTCTAGTTACTTACTTGACTTTTCTACCACAAATCTTGTGTTATTTAAAATGAACCTTGCTTAATGCATTGTTTTTCAAGTAGGATTTATCCTACCTGTATAAGTGAGTGCCATAAAAAGTTTTATTTTTCTAAAATAGGAATATCCTTTGAAAATCGATCCTCCCCTTTTGGAAAAACTTATTTCATGTACTAACACCACAAATAATAAGATTTTGGGGTTTTTGCAAAGGAACAGAAATCCAGGTGTGCTCTTCTAGAAAGTACGTAATGGAAGGTAAATTTATCAAGTTATTCTTTTCTTTTTTATTTTATCTCATTCCTACTTAATTTACAAGATGATTCAGGTATACTCTTTACTTTGAAAGATGTTGGTGTTCAAATACATTAAATTTATCTTAACCTGGTTTTTCTAAAGGTTCATTCATTCAACAGTCATTTATTGAGCATCTTCAATTTTGAGGGTACCCTGCAGAAATATCCACCCAGTTTTTATTTAGAAAGTAAGATGGTTCTGGATATTAACAGTTCCAAGGATGCTGACAGCAGCCCTTATTTTCAGTGTGTGAAATTGAAATTACCTACTCATGGGAGTAGAAGAACTCAACAATAGAAAAGATGTTATCTAAGGAACGTTGGTCAAAGTAAGATTTTGTAGATTAAGGTGTGATCTGCTAATAATCATTATACTCAGTATATCAGTTTTTAATTAGTCTTCTTTTTTAGGAGATGAAAGAAGAGTTTCACGAAGGTATGAAGATTGTCAAGCATCAGGTAAGAGAGTATTATATGTGAGATGTAAGTTATATAGCCAGTTTTGTATACTGCTTGGTAAATGAAGTGTTATTAGTTTATGGTCATATCTTACCTAATTATTGGGTTGTCGGAAAAGTCATGACGCATTTTTGCAACAAAAAACAGAAAAAATACATCATGACTTTTCTGACAACCCAGTAGTTACATAGGAACTTGCCTATTTTGGGAATCGATTAATCTATACAGATATAATGTGTGTTATTCTGTTAATGCAGTTCATTTTAGATTTACTTCAAGATACAAATATCATGCAACTTATCACAAGGACCATAAAAGGCTGCTATGGAAAAAATTATAAAATAGACATTATATTGACAAGTGTAAAAATTGTCCGTGATGTCAGCTACTTGCTAATGTCTTCCTTGGGGCAGAACTGTTTTCTTAATTTTTTATGGCACACAGATTTATGTAACTGTTACATAAAACCCATGTGTCAGCTTTTTTATATAGTTTTAATTCACTCCATATAGTGTTATTCCATGGTTGATAGTTCTTTTTATTTTCTTAAATAAGGAGACTTTTTCTCATGAGAAAGTGTCTTGACTGTTCCGTTTCTACCCTTAGGAGGTATTTGACTCTCTAAATTTAAACGTAGATTTCAAAGGAATTGATGAGAATCATATATCACAGCATATAAGCTAGACAGTTTTGTAGGGCTACAATTTTAAACTAAAATGCATAGCACAATAGATTCGTGAAAATTTAGATTTTATTAAGTTCTTTATTCTGTATCCACTGATCCACTGAAATTGTGGTAAATTGACTGCCACATCTATCTTAACCCTTAAAATCAATCTTAATACTTTTTACATTAAGTAAACTATTCTAAAGCATATATATGAGATCTGTTGATTGTTATGTATTACACATAGTCACCATGACTATTTTGGTTCACTGACAAATGTATATTTCTTTGCTAAATCTCTTTAATTTCATCAGTCTTCATTGGTGAGAAGTTGATCTGATGCCAAAATTTTGTTTAGGGTCATAAAATTCAGTTTTTTATGCTGTATTCGCCATATCAGTTTACTTCTTTCAGATGAATAAATTGGGATATTTTAAAGTTAATTTTGTATGATATCCTTTTAAAAGTGTTTGTTTATATACATGTGTATATGTAAGAGTGTAAAACAGAGGGAGGAGAAGATAGGTATACTTGGTAAAATTTACTCCCACAATGTGAAATTAAGTATCACAATGGCAACTTGATACCATGTCATCTCTAGTAATTCATCTAACAAAAACCAAAAATGCATAAACATATGTAGTTTAATCATGTATTGATTTTTTTTTCAGGAAATACTTTGGACTCAACATTAGAAAACAGAAGTAGTACAGCAGCACAGTACCTTCAGATTTGTGATAGCATTAATACGAATAAAGTACTCAAACAAAAAGCCAAGAAGAGGAGAAGGGGTGAAACAAGGCAGTGGCAAACAGGTAAAATACTAATGTTTTTCTTTAGGAATAGTATAATGATTTGAAATGTGGAAGTTATTTTTGGTAACCAAAGAACAAAGTCAGTTGTTTATAGTGTAGCTCTACTCCCATGTACTTATTTGTGTTTGATCTAAATAGTTGGGGTTTTTTTTATCTGCTTGACTGGTACTTAATAAAATTATGCTTGTTTGCTCTTTACTCAAATGATGTTTTTAGGGAGAATTTTCAGGTTGGTTTAACAGTAAAGGGTGCCTGTTTCTAGTTTACAAAGTACATGCAATATAGCATTTTGGCAGGTGAGCAGAGCAGTAGTCTATAGTACAGTGCTGCTCATTACTTTTTAGAGAGCTACTTTATCATAAATTGCTCTTTATGTATGTTTTATCATATAAGATTTTATTCCACTAGTCTGGTTCTCACACTGAATGTCAGCTAATTTGGAGCCTTTGTTGTAAAATCCTTTAAAAGTCTGGCCAAATGACACAACTTCCTTATTTTTTTTAATCTAGCTGTTATAATAGGCCCTGATGGACAGCCCCTGACAGTGTACCCTTGCCATATTTGCACAAAAAAGTTTAAATCCAGGGGATTCTTGAAAAGACACATGAAGAATCATCCTGATCATTTGATGAGGAAAAAGTATCAGTGTACAGATTGTGACTTTACAACTAACAAGAAAGTGAGTTTCCATAACCACTTAGAAAGCCATAAGCTTATAAACAAAGTTGACAAAACCCATGAATTTACAGAATACACACGAAGATACAGAGAGGCTAGTCCACTGAGCTCAAATAAACTTATATTAAGAGACAAGGAGCCGAAGATGCACAAGTGCAAATACTGTGACTATGAAACTGCAGAACAAGGACTATTAAACAGGCATTTATTGGCTGTTCACAGCAAGAATTTTCCTCATGTTTGTGTTGAGTGTGGGAAGGGCTTTCGACATCCTTCTGAACTTAAGAAACATATGAGAACCCATACTGGTGAGAAGCCATATCAGTGTCAGTATTGTGTTTTCAGGTGTGCAGATCAATCAAATCTGAAAACTCACATTAAGTCTAAGCATGGTAACAATTTACCATATAAATGTGAGCATTGTCCCCAAGCATTTGGTGATGAGAGGGAGCTTCAACGCCATCTGGATTTGTTTCAAGGACATAAGACACACCAGTGTCCTCATTGTGACCATAAGAGCACCAACTCAAGTGACCTTAAGCGGCACATCATATCTGTCCACACTAAGGATTTTCCTCACAAATGTGAGGTCTGTGACAAAGGTTTCCATCGTCCTTCTGAGCTCAAAAAGCATAGTGACATCCATAAGGGTAGGAAGGTTCATCAGTGTAGGCACTGTGACTTTAAAACGTCAGATCCATTTATTCTTAGTGGTCATATCCTTTCAGTTCATACTAAGGATCAGTCATTGAAGTGTAAAAGGTGCAAGAGAGGGTTCAGACAACAAAATGAGCTCAAAAAGCATATGAAGACCCACACTGGAAGGAAGATTTATCAATGTGAGTATTGTGAATACAGTACTACAGATGCATCTGGCTTTAAACGACATGTGATATCAATACATACAAAAGACTATCCACACAGGTGTGAATTCTGCAAGAAGGGATTTCGAAGACCATCAGAAAAAAATCAGCATATTATGAGGCACCACAAAGAGGCTCTTATGTAATAAGAACAATATAAAGAAAGAAGCTATTTGGAAAAGGTGATATGCTACATGGGAGGAAAAATTTCACAAACTGTTTCATCTGGTTACAAAGCTTGATATTAAATCATAACTTTACATTCTTTGTATTAAAGATCTTAAGATATATTAATTGACGGGGATCTCATAGCCCTCTGAAAATTAAAGAATTTAAGAAGCACTTGAGAATGGTTGCAGAAAAACTTATTGTCAATTTAATAGGATTATATGCATAATTAAACAACAGAGGGGAAGAGCAAAGACAGTGACTTTGGCTGATCATACTAGAGACATGATTCTGAAAAGATCATACATAATTGAGATTAGCAATTCTTTTTTATGGCAAGCAAGCCTCACTTTTATGCATTTAAATATGGGGTGGTAAATAAAATGCAGTCATCCATCAGTCATTTAGTCATTGAGCCTTTTATATGGTACCTGGAAATTGAATTCCAGAAATGACAAAAATTTGTGTATTCATTGAAATAAGTTTCACTGAAAAACAGTTTAGATTAATTTAATACTACTAACAAGAATTTCAGAGCTGCTAAGATTTTATCACAGGATGTTTGAAATACAGCATCTGTGCTGAGGTCTAAGGTGGAGTCTAAGGATTAAAGTTCCCCTTTTTCTGATGTTTGAGTTGATTGTTGTTAAGTATGGCTTATATGACAAAAGTATATTTGAGTCAAATACGGATTTCTAAAACGGATGCAACAGTAGTGTTGCAAACAAAGTTAGCACTATATTTCTTAATGATCTAAAGATTAAATTGAGAGAACACAGTTTTCTTAAATATAATGTTTAGAGGTTTTTTTTTAGGACAGTCCTCGCAAGTATGATGGTTCTAGTCTTACTTGCTCTAATGTTTAAAGGTGCAATTTTATGCCATTATTGGAAATTTTGATTTTTAAAATCTATATACCATATTATTAACATGTGTTTTCAATATGAGACAGTGTTTATGCAGTATTTAACAAAACACTAGGCTGCCAATAGAGTTCGGAGGTGGATATTCAGTTTACAGTGTATAAATTTAAAATATGCATCCCTTTAACAACGCTTTGTGTTAGCATGCAGCAAATCAAAATGGCGCTTAATATAAAAAGCTGGTTTAGGGAAATTTAATGAAAATCCTGTTCATAAATGTAATGCATATGATGTGTACTTTTTACTTTTAGTTGCTTCATGTTTACACTCAGCTGTTCAACATAATTAAAATGTAATTTTACTTCATGCTATATTGTGGCTTTGTGTTTCGACTAATGTTCACTTTTCTGTTTTGCACCAGATAAGAATCAATTCCTTGAGAAAAAATTTTTTATCTTTCTTAACTTCAGAATATTAAATTTGGAAAATCTAAAATTGTGTGTTATGTGGCTGTAAATGATGTACACGCTGTAAAATAAGATTGTCACTGTTACGTGGGATTATTATTTCTAAATGTTACTCATTGAAATGAGCATACAATAAAAAGCATTTATTGCACTTCAAGGTTTTATGAATTTGTTTAAAGTTTTGCTGTAATATTCATGCTTTATTAAGACTTTTCATGTAAAATTGCTCTTAGGCAATTTGGCCACAGTTTAACGTGTTGTAGAATTTTGTGCATTAACAACAACGTGAGCTAGGAATTTAAACAATTACAATGACTATGGCATGATTATTCCTCAAAAATGTAAGTTTTCGCTAAAACTGTGACAGAAAGCTATAAAGGTGCCCATCTTAAAACCTGATATTTAGTATTATAGAGAAAACTAAAAATTCTTAACCTGCTTAAGTAAACATTATCCCTGGAAATGAATCTAAAGTTATGTTCCTAATAAACCAATATACATTCAAAAGGAAACGTATTAAATCAAGTATTTGGGAAAGATTTTTTCAAACGAGCCCAAAAATAACCTATATTCAAACTAGTCAGCATTCAATAGAATTTATGTACCTAGATATGCAGTATTTAGCAAAACACTAGGCTGCCAATAGAGTTTGGAGGTGGATATTCAGTTTACAAATTCAGTGTATAAATTTAAAATATACAACCCTTTAACAACATCCCTTAAAGCCCATCACGGCCCTTTAAGCAATAGCACATTGTTTAAGACTTTTTCAGTTGGGTTAATTATTCTTTAATGATCATTAACAAAAAAAAAGAAATCTTTTAGCCATTACATGTTAGACCAGTGCTTTTTAAGCTTTAATGTCTATAGAGTTCACCTAGGGATCTTGTTAAAATACATATTCTGATTCAGTAGGCATGGGATGGGCCTTCAATTCTGCATTTCTAGCAAGCACCCATGTGTTACCACCGAAAGAGTAATAAGGTGTTAGGCAAAAAACCCCAGTGTAATTCTGGTATGCTTTGGCATCTGTTTAAACAGATAGTTACGGGTGAGTGGATAGAGGCAGTCTGTACATGGCATTTGAGTTGAGACCTGAGTGGCAAGAAGGATCCAGTCATATGAAGACCTTGTGGAAGAGCATTGGAGGCAGAAAAACAGAAATAACCTGAAATGGAACAAGCTTTGGTTGGACCATGGTGAGGGGGACTGATAAGAGATGAAACGTCTGAGAATTTGAAATGGGAAGCCATTGGAGAGTTTTAAGGAAGGGAATAATGTGATATGATTTACATTTTGAAGATAACGAGTCTGTGTAAGGAATGTATTGTAGAGGAGTCGAGGGAAGTAGGGAGCCATGCAAAGAGGTTATTCCAGTTGTTCATGGATACAGTGGAGCTAGAGAAAAGTAGATGGGTTTTCTTTCTTTTGCTTATAAATTGGGTCTAGAAAACCTCATCCAAGATAAAACAGATAAGAATTGAGCCCATGCTACAAACAAAAGATTGTCTTAAAAAAACCGGCACAGACCTGTTTTATTGTGACAAAGCTGATTTTACCTAAAAGTGCAGGTCAAAGTACCTTCACAAAAAAGAAATAATTTGGTAAATATTTAAAAAGCATTTTCCCAGAACCGTTCAGTCTTTTTGTAGAGATGGATTTGTCTGATTTTCACTTCTAAATGGCCTATACCATGATGGAGAGGAAAGGATTTGGAATTGTTACTCAAGTATGCCTCTCACATTCAACTCATATTTTATCTCATACAGGACAACCACCAGTTTGAACCTTGAACTGCCCTTTAAGATATGTATGATAGATATATGATATGATAGATAAATTGTATTGCAGAACATTTTCAACCATATACAAAAATAGAAGAATGTAATGAACCCCTATATATAGCCATCACCCAGTTTCAATAATCATCACTTCATGACCAATTTTGTTTCATTTATATTCTTCCTCCTCTCTTCACCTACATGCCCCTCTTTGGTTTATTTTGAAGCTCTCTCCTTTCACTGGTTTAATTTGAAATAAACCTATGACATCTTTTTAAAAGTTTTCGAAAGAACATAATAGCAAAATTCTTAATCTTAAATATACCTACTTCCAGGGAAAAAAATTGGGTAACCTTGTGTGAAGGCAGAGGAACAAAAGAATCTTGTTTAGATCTGTTTCCCCTTGTGAGAATCAAGGAAACCTGGCTAGACTTGGAATTCTACACAATAGGGTTTTTAAGACTAATAAGGTATCATTTGGAGAAAATGCAGGACAAGATTAGTACCCTAGAATATCTTTGGATTAGAGAATGTTCCCAATTTTGTTCGGCTCCACCCTGTCCTTCCAAAATAATTAGCTTTTAAATTTGACACTGGTTAAGAAAGGTCTAGAACCTTTGATCCTAGGTATGAACTGGCTAGTGTTACTGGCAGTCTAGAAGCCCTGCAGAAGAAATTGTGACACAGGGTCAAGGCTGTAGCACTAGATACCCCAAATGAAAAATGTTTTTGCCTGCCTCATTCCAGTTGCTATGCCTTTCTCTTTGAACTTGACCAAAGTAACTATTTCAAGGGGAACACTGCTCCATTTTAAAATTTGAACCAATTGGCAATATTGAAACTATCCCATTTAATCCACACTGTAAATCCCAGTTACCTACCATCTGACTCCAAAACCTTGTCATCCTAGACTCCAACACCACCTACACCTTATATCATGGCTGGCTCATCAGACCCCTTTAGGGAACTAGCTCAGAAAGCCTATATATTGTTCCATTTTAAGAAATTGGTCTGATTTGTTATATCTTTTTTTGTTTGTTTGTTTGTATCTTTTTTTTTTCAAACATTTCTGAAGAAAAAAAATCTCATTTTTATAACTAGAAACAGAGTATCACATAATGAGGATAGAGCTTTCCAATTCTGGAAAACGATGCCATGAATGACTGCAAAGCATAAATTCTCCACACACACTCACAAAATGTTACAACTTTCATGCCACTAATATCTGTTCTTCTAAGATGGCTTTAAGTGATAAGAAAACCTATGTTTTCCCACAGAGAATAGGGCCCAGACTGCTTGAGTTAAATATCAGGTATCACTTTCTACACAGCCCCATAGTTATGAGTATTGAGTATTCATCATAATGCCATGAAATCACATCATAAATCCAGGTAACCACTTCCTTTTATATTTATAATTTGGGAGCAGAGGCAACACTCAGAATTAAAAGCAGCATATAACTGGTCTGTTAGGAAGGAAAGGCTATAATACTTTTTTTTTTCAGGAGAAAAATTATTTATTTGATTACTGTAGGGAAGCAAACTTTCTTAATGTTCAAATGATAACTACTCTGTATGTTAAGTGAACTTTAAACATGGGCACATGTCCATACCAAGTGGATCTGCAAATAGCCTATAAGAAGGCAAACATCTCAGCATAGCTTAGGATAATAAACAGCACCGAGCAACCTGTGCCACAAGGTTTCTACCTGGTTCCGTACCTACTTAAAAATGGAGATGTGTCTCATTTGAGACTTTGTGAAGTCCTTAGTGCTTGTGTTCAGAACGAATGAACTTCCAATCTCATTGATTTGTTATATCTTGGCACACATGAGATTATCTAGGAATGTTAAACACTGATTATATCAGCAAACACATCATTATATTGCAAAGGCTATCCCTTAACATATAGGATCTCTTGAACGTAAACTTGAATACAAAAAAAAATATTTTAATGGGCTGGAATGGGAAACCAAACAAAGACCCTGGGCTTAACAACATCTCATCTACAAGAGACGAATTCAAGAAGATGACCAAGACTGCCTGGCTGTCATGTAATTATGTGATATAACAACTCCAGTGTTCCTTTGTATATTCAAGAGGTATGTCTTATTTTGTTACTAAATATTAAAGGTTTTATTAAAACATGTAATTTTTATTACTTTATTTTAAAATATTATATTTACTATTTTATCCTAGGATAAGCATGAAATACGTAGCATTTTTTATTGGACAAAAAGTACTATGAAAATTCAATAAATTTAGTAATGGTGTGTGGTGGAGGAGAGGTGCCTTGTAAGGAAGTATTTTCACAGCTTATTTACTTTCTAAAAATTAATGTCTACATGTCATCTTTGCAGATTACAATAATGGGAAAGAAGTGAGAATGGCTTTTTGTTAAGGTAATCTAAATTGGGTAATGACATGAAATTTTTTAAGCTTTATTTTGTTCTTTTTGTACTGTTTGTGTTAAGAAAAAGTATTACAGTTAAAGCACCATTACATGAATGGGAAGAGTGCTTTATGGAATCATGCTTGAAACAAGTAGGTTATGGAACATAGAAGACTAGGATTGTAAGCAAAGACATTCTCATTTAAAGCAGAAACCTGCATCAACCGGAGGTCCAACTATGTTAAAGTGTTGTCTCTAGTAGTCCATCTAAGGACTTTTTTTTTTTTAGAGGGCAGCGTCACTGGCCCTCACATGTGGGATCTGAACCGGGGGCTCTCCAGCGTCCCAAGCCAGTTCTTAAACTTTGTGCCACTCAGCCGGCCCTAAGGACTTCTTTTTAAATTAGAGGGATGCTTGATAGCTCTAACATAACCATTCACATGATAGTAACTTCTGACAAAAACGTACAGCTAAGCTTAAGATCCATCCTGCATGTTTCTTATTAGGACTTCCACAAAGACCACACAGATACTTCACATATTTTAATTAGACACTTAAATAGATGGTTTTGCATTACATTGCATAGTCTCCATTTTATTCAATATCTAAAATGAAACATACTGGAATAGAAATGAGATAAATAGGCATTCGTCACCTGACAACATCTTTGCAATTTTCAGAGAGAAGCTGTGTGAAACTTGTGAGAGGAAAAAAAAAATCACTACTTTTTTTTATTGATCTTAGTCACAAATTGGAAAAGAAATACATATATTTAAATTTGTTAAGTATAATAGGTACCTTGACAGCCCTGTTCACTCACTATGCATGGATCAAGTGAGCCAATGATGTGCTGACTTCTTAACTGCCCTAAATTTTGAACTATTATTTTGGATTGTTATTTTTATTTACTAGTATTTGGGGGAAATTACAGTTGTTCTAATTTTCAAACAGTTATGGTGGCAGTTTTCTATTACACCACCAC